GTGTGCCCACTCGATATGGCCGCCGCTTGAGTGGGGCAACTCAGAATAATAACGTGCTGGATTAGTGTGATCCTAGTTCATTTTATTACTTCATTGCTGTGCTGTATGTGTATAGGCCAATGCCTTGGCTGGCGCTCATGCAGAAAGTTTCTTGGGCAAACTTACCGGCCCAAGTGGCTCCATCGGCTAGTGAGGGGGGGAGGAGTCCGATGATGTCACGGATATCAACGTCACTGGACTCCTCCCCCCTTCCCTTCGTTAGCCGACGGAGCCACTTGGGGAAGGGGGAGGAGTCCGGTGACGTCACCGGATCGCCGACGGGACTCCCGGAAGCCGGCAGAGAGGTGAGTGTTTTCATTAGCGATCAAAATAATTGTAATTGATCAAAAAGTTTAACGATTAATCGAGAAATGAATCTTTAATTTCCACAGCCCTACATAATAACCTTCAAAATTTGCTTATCTTAATGTGATCACTGAGCACTGCCACTAACCCAGCACCAACCAATATAAGCAAGAACAGATGATTTACTTTTCTGTTTAAATGGAAAGATGAGTGAGTTAGTATTGGCAGCAAGAAAACCCTTCAACCACCCTTTCTTTTGGGCCTTTTGTTCCATATAGTGTACACCCTGCTATCATTAGAAGTCATGTTTTAATCTATTAGATCATTTTGATTAGCTTATCGTTTGGACCACACACAGTAGCTCTAGCTCATGAGTGGGAGTTGGATTGCACATATAGAAAACATTATTTGATGATAAGAATGCAAAAATGTTTTCCTAACTTGAACATATTTTGTATTTCTCTGCATGTTTTCAGGAAAATGAAAGGCTGTATCAACAAGTCAAGGAACTCCAACTTAAAAACAAGGAAAATGAGGGCCATATGTTTAAGGAAAATCAGGCACTCAAGGCAAATCTAATTTCCTTAAGGTATAAGTTTCTTGTTATTCCAATAAAAGTTAATAATTGAAAACTAGTAAAACACGGGAGGACATAGTTACCTGCAGCTGATTGCTTTTGAAGTCATGAACTTTTTTGCAGGACCCACGATGATTTTCCAAACAGTGGGAGTAGTTCCTAATATTTCCTGGGGATAGCTGCAACAAGCTATCCCTGTTGGTGCCATCAGCCACAGCAAGGCACACTGGCCTGAGAAAGGAGAGGTCTGAAACACAACCACATTTTCACTGCGGAAGAGTCATGGAGGTAATACTGATAAGCTCCACAATATAGAACAGGGGCTGACTGGCAACTTTTAGCCCAGGTTCAAGTACAACCCAGAGGCCCATGGTGCAGCAACTTGGCCTCCCTCCTGCTCTCCCTCTTCCTCCGCCTTCTCCCCGCCCCTGTCTGCCACTTTTGCCATCCATGTAACAGTAGTGTGAATGTATTTATCGGTTTAGGAAATGTAAAGCACACGGATAGTGGAGGGATGCCTCGTCAGGGCTGTGCGTGTGCATGGCTGCTGCGACCCTGGTACTTCTGCCACTAACTCAGAAATACATTGTACAGCATTGCAGAATGGCATTGGCTATAGAGAACTACAATTCCAAGCAATACATTACACAACAATGCAGAATACCATCAGCCATAGCGGACTATAAATCCAAGCAATAATGACTACCAACAGCTATAGAGAACTACAATTCCCAGCAATACCATTATACAGCAATGCAGAACAGCATCAGCTATAGAGGACTAATAAATCCCAGCAAAAGTACATTATAGCTGGTGGTATTCTGCATTGTGCTATATAATGTATTATTGCTGGGATTTGTAGTCCCCTATACAGTGCAATGCAGAATACCACCAGCTATATAGGAATACACCAAATCCCAACAATACATTATACATACAGCAGTCCCGGGATTGCTGGGATTTGTAGTCCAATTTAGCTGATGGTATAATATACAGCACAATGTACCATCAGCTATAGAGGAATACAAATCCCACTATCCCAGCAATACATTATAGAGCACCATGTGGGGAGTGCAGGCTTACCTGAGCAGTCTTCCAGCAACTTGCTTCTGAGATCAGGCCTGTCTGTCGGCGGCTGTCATCCCCTCACACCTGCTCCTCCTTACTTCTTCTTCTCCCCGCGCCGATTGTGGATGTTGCCGCGTGAGGCGGGGGAGGAGGTGTGGTGTCTGGAGTGTGCATGCGGGCGGGTCTGGCAGCGGCAAGCGTGAGGCGGGGAGGAGGTGCGGCGTGTGGAGCGTGGGCAGGTCAGGCAGTGGCAAGCGTGAGGCGGGGAGGAGGTGCGGCACGCGGCGTGTGTGAAGCCGTGAACAGGGACAACTAATCGAAAGCTGATTAATCGATGATTGAAAATGTTGACAACTTTTTCAATCATCAATTATAATCGACTTAGTCGATTAGTTGTTGCAGCCCTACATTCATCCCTGATTTCTGGGGACAGTATCCGGATTGAGGAGACCATCCCCTGACAAATTATGTCCCTAGGAACATAAAATAAACCAATAATTTTTTTTTAATACTCACCTGATCCCTGGATCCACCGACAAGCGCAGCCTCCCGTCTCCCACGATGTTAGAAGCTGCATACAGCTTGTGCTGGTTACTACTTAAACCGGCGCGCTGTGTGCAGCTTCTGAGAAGATGCGCTATTAGCACAGCGAGTAAGCCGGCTGCGCATTTTGCCGGCTGCGCATCCTGCTACGCTAATAGCGCATCTTCTCAGAAGCTGCACATAGTGCGCCGGTTTAAGTAGTAACCAGCACATGCTGTATGCAGCTTCTAACTGTTTGGGAGACGGGAGACCGCACTTTTGGTGGATGCAAGAATCAGGTGAATATAAAAAAAAATTTAAAAAAGGTTTATTTTATGTTCCCGGGGATAACATTTTAAAAATTGTGTCACCTTACCTTGGCCTGGTGGTCAGTGGGGGCTCCATGGACCCTGGTTGTGGGGGGGCCTGCTGTGGCCGCAGCTGCAGTGGCTCCCTCTGCCGAATCTCCGCCACCTGCACCCGGCCGGCTTGCATCCGATGCGGCTCTGCGATCGGCGGCCGCTCGGTCCTCAAGGGGGTCCTCGGAAGGCCCCAGCGGGCTGCCCTCTACAGCGCCTGCTTAGAGGACTGCGTCTGCCTGATCCTCTCATTAACATACAACACAGAACCCTAGCCCTAATTGCCTGCTGATATCGTTTTGAACAGCAGGCAATTGTTGTTCAGATGCAAGCGATCTGGTGCCTATATAGCTCCTGGATCGCTTGTACGGTGCGGTGGAACACGTTCACCACCGCCTACCCCGGGCTCCCCTATCCTGCCTGTGCGGACCTGGCACCGACACAGCTGGTCTCCCCTGACAGATCAGAGGAAGATCAGCAAGCTTGTAGCCGCTGGCCTCTCCTATCACTGGACCTGGAAGTGATGTGTATTACATCACTTCCAGTGTCACGGTGTACATTCTCTGGCTCTTAGAGCCAGGAGAAGAAGCTGGCGAAGCAGATGTCTGCTTCATCAGCTTCTTTGTGGTCCCTAAGTGACATCAGGGGTCTGAAAGACCTCTTTCTCCATAGAAAGGAAAATATATAATTGTTTGGGTATCTGAAGCTGTTTTCTATGTTATCATGTGTGTGCACATATAAAGCATTTGCTTCGGACAGCAGGTGGATAAGACGGACAGTGTGTAAATCTAGTTTACAAATGATAATGAGATCTGCCAGCTCAGTTAATGAGTGTGTTTTTATAAGGGTAAACATTATCTCCCCATCCCCTCCTATTTTTAAGTTATGCAATGTGAATGAGAACATGTAACAAATATGAAGTAGGTGTTATCCCAATCAGACTGCAAAAGTGAAAATACACTTTAATGCAGGAAATATTTGACCAGACAAGATTACTGTTGCAAAACTAGCAATCAGGCAGATTGTACTCCAAACAAAATGCTGGATGTAGCAATTGAGGGTTATAAGCAGATAAAAGCAGGGCTCTGCCCCACTAAAGGTTGTGATGCTGTCTGCATTAGTTCAAGCCCACATAACTAACCACAGTATGTAAGTTATACAGAACTGGTGCTTGCATCCAAAATAGACCCATTTTGATGAGGGTGAGACCATACATTTCCAATATATACACAGGAATGCTGGTAGAAATACACAGGACAACTTGGAAGAATGTTCAGTGTCGACTCTAATTTCGTTACTGTAAAAGTCTTATAAGTAACTGTATACTTTATCCTGTATATTTGTTTTTCTCGTTATATACAGCAGCATCTTACAGTGTATAGGATTCACAACAAACAGAACAAAGGTGCAGAGAAAGCACAGGTGTCCACACATGAACCTGTAAAATACAGTATCCTGAATTGTGTCTTGGCGTGTTGCTGCTCTTTGCATCTTGTGTTTCGCAGATACATTTACTGTGTATAAAGTGAATGGCAAAATTACCGTTAAAACATCTACATTTATATTATAGCCAGTTATGTCATTTGTTTTGCAGTTTGGTTTTAAAAACAATGTTTGTCTTTTTTCTATTCCAGAGAAAAATTAAATGGCAATGCAAAAAGTAATCAATATGCACCCTCTGGAAATGAATCCAATAACCAGGGATTTACAGAGCTGATTGCTGAGCTGCGCACCCTTCGGGTAAATAGAACCATGACAACAATTTGTACTCCATTTCATTTTTCTCTATCAAACTAATAATAGACAAAAAATACCATGATATAAGAGATGCAACCTAGAATGTCAACTGCTACTTGCCATTAATTTTCATTCCCAAGCTCTTGTTATCTGTAATATGTGAAACACTGTTTACTGTCCTCTTGCCGTCAGTTCATTTGTAACCTACCATAATTTGTTTTGAAAGGGAGCAGATTGCAACTTTCTGCACTCACATTTGCTTGTTCCTATTTTCCTAATGCCGTACGCTGTCATAAAAATATATTAAGTGGTTCTTGGAAGCTAATGTGCTTAGAATAAAGTAGTAATGTCATGAAGTATGATTTTCTGTTAAACCTTTTAAGCTGCATTTCATGTAAGAAATAAATGGGATTTTCCCCATAGTTAAGGAGAACTATGGGGAAAAGACTTAACCCCATAGTTCTCCTTTAAGGAGATTTTTGCTATTTTCCTGGGATACCAGGACAATAAATGGAAAGAGGGGCTGTCTCTAGGATACAAAGTCACAGATGACAGTAAATACATTGGTCAAACCCTTCCTAACTATGCTACAATTTTTTTTTTTATTTGTCTGTGTCTTCCTGTCCTGACATGAAGTGAAGGAGAATCTTCACAAAAGGGACATTGACAGCAATAAAAAAAAACTGATAGGTTTTGTCTGGAGTTGGGCTATGAAAGCATATCACTTTATTATCACTGAAAATGCAAATAAAAGGATTGTTAAATACATTGGTCCATAATAATTTTTTATTTTTTTATTTTGTTTTATTCTCTTACAAAGAAAAGAGAGACCAGCTTGCTTGATGATATAGCCAGGTGTAAACAGGAGAAACAGGCTGTGGAAGTAGATCTGGTGCAGTTGAAGAAAGAACGTGATTTTCTGAAAACCCAGGTCTCCAGCACCTCAGGTACAGCATCCACTTTATCCTATTTCCGTTAAGTGTAGTGTGCCTTATTTTCCAGTCTAAGGCCTGGTTCACACCTGAACGTTTTGTAGCGCGTTCAACGCTCGACGAACGCTCTACAAAATGCTCAAACATCTAAATCCCATTGTATTCAATGGGTCTGGTTCACACCTTGCCGTATTTCCGCCCGTCCGAACGCGATACAAAACGGCCTACGCCCAAAGAAGTACATGTACTTCTTTGGGGCGTTTTGGTCTCGCGTTTCCATTGGGATACAGCCAAGTAGCCCTTGGAAACGGGCGTTTGTCGCACGTTTTTTTTTTACCGCGAATCGCGGTAAAAACGCGCGTCGCGAGACGCGCAACAAATGCGCACATTCAATACGCCTAGGTGTGAGCCCAGCCTAAGAGCAAACCGATTTTAAAAGTTTTATTCTCTGGATATCTTTTACAGTTCTCCTTTGAATCAACAGCTTGGAATTAGCTTTTTCTTCCTTTTGATACTTTAATAAATAAGAACCACCAAGTCTAAGTGTGTGTGTGTGTGTGTGTGTATATATAGATAAATGAACGCAATAAAGTTATGCAAAATTCCTGGCATCACTCTGTTAATGTTGAAGTAAAATGCAGATTGGTGGCATGGAAATGTATGGTGTGACAGATTTACAGCATGTCTCTAGTAAATACCCTTCTCTTAGCTTTGGTCCAGGGCACATGCTGTTTTGTGTTGTGCATAGACTAGTCATTTGGCTTTGGAGCAAATGCTTGGTAGACCACAACTCCAGAAAACCACTTTTGATCAAAATTCACTGGACTGTAGATGGGTGAATTTGGGTCCCCGTAGTTTCCACTAATCCTGGGCTGATGTGCTGAGCATCTTTCTGTTTTGAAGGATAATAAACTTTATGTATGTCTTGCCTCTGCACTCAGTTTTATTTGCTAACCACGGTTTGCTTGTTTGAGGTAGTGCAGAGGAGCTTGAATCTGGAAACACCTGTCTGCTGCAAAATGTCTGCTTGAGAAAGACCTTGTTGATGCAGGATGACCACCTTGTATCTTTTCGTTATGCTTCCTTTTGCCATGGCGTGAAATTTTAAGGTTAAATTGCCATTCATATTAGCCAACTATTCCTGTGATACACACACATCTCTGCTAGTTAAGGTAATCACTCTGCTACTTCCTGGTTTACCATTAATGTTTCCTAAGTTTGCTGAACTGTTTTGTGCTTAGGTTGCACTGGCCAGAGCTGCGAGGACACTCATAAAACCCCTTCCTTTTTTTTTTTAGTGTCCATGGGTGATGGATGTCTCCTCTCTACTGAGGGAGACACGTGTAGTTTTTAGTTATCTTTTTTTTTTTTCCTGTGATTCTTTAATCAAGTGTCTTCTTATGGCTGCGTATAGCCACAGCTGCAACCTCACAGCTTGCGGCTCGGTGCAAACGGCAATAACTTCAGGAATCGTACCTGGACCCCACAGGACTGTCTGACACTACTATTGGTTGAGTCTATAACCCTGTCTCCCCTCTAGGTACCCCTGGTCTCCTTGGTCGCTGGCCCTTTAAAAAAAAAAAAAATCAGCCACTGACTGTCTTCTTGATACACCAGGATGCCCTGATAATGCATGAAAGCTAGTACGGAGGCCATCTTGGTGCTTCCCCCTACAGCATCAGGGGAATCGGGAGCAGTGGTGGCCATCTTTGAAGAGAGCATGCCTACCTTGTATCCACAGCATCCACAGCAGTTTTAGCATCTGCATTATCAGGGACAACAGAGACCAGAGAAGGGGGATCCTGTCTAACGATTTGGTGCCAGAAGGAATAGCCAGCAATACTACTGGTAATGACCATGAGGGGTTACCTATGGTTTCCCCCAGAAACTCTGCTATAGCTGGTATGTGTGTTCACCCACCGTTTAGCTTGCTGCCCTCTGCTAATGAGTCTTATTACCCCACAGGGCTATCCTACCTACTTCTTCTTGCCCTAGTAAGGGAGAATTTGCAATAAATGCTTTTTGTTGGGGAAGACACCTGCTATGTTTGAGGGATGAGGACACAAGTGTAGTCCTCCTCCTTCCTAATTGGTTTCAGACATGGTCATGGCTACCACCTTATTGCCGGAAGATGAGGAGGAGGGTGTGGAAATAGAGGTGCGTACCTTTTTCAGTAGTTTCCCCTCAGGCAGATTTGACTACTGTGCCCCTGCCCCAATGACTATTTGACCCCATTTTGGTACTTGTTGATAAGGTGAGAGAATGCCTAACCATTGCTTCACCTGCACAGGATTAACCCAGGGTCACTAGTATGGGTTCCTTTAAGAAATAAGTCAGCTAAGACATTTCATATAAAATGAAAACATCCCCTTATATGCTAGAATATTAGGAATGCATCCAGATTTATTGTTTTTTAAACAATGAACTGAGATGGCTAGAATGAGTTCCTGATGAAGCCTATTCCACATTTTCAAAGCTCTTAATGTGAAAAAGCCTTTCCATATACAAAGGTTATTTTTGTCCCTGGCCAACCATTAGGAGGTTTATTGCCAATGGAGCTTGCTGGAAAAAGGATATAAATATTTAGGGGGCTTGGCTTGGAGAGCTGGGTCTTTCCCCCCCAGGCTTGCTGCCTTGAAAAGGTGCTCTGTGAAAAGTCTCTAGCAACCACCTCCCAAAGGAGCAGACCTGGAGGCAAAAATGAGGCCAAAGCCTAGGTTTTGTAAATCACAAGGAAAGTTTGCCACAAAGCATATGTTGCGGTCCTCATCTTCCTTGGGGAGGTAAAAGAATGACCCATTTTATTGATGCCTAGCATGGGCTGTGAAATTTTCTTCTCATGTTACCCAAAGCAAACCTTCACAAATACTGAGATTTTTATCTTGGCAATATGGGGACTGTGTGTGCTGTTGTGGTATCTACATCTGAGAGAACCACTTGTTCACTTGTTATGTGTCTCTAAGCTATCTTATTGGCTAATGGTAGGAAGTGATGTGATGTGAAATTTGTGCACCTTTAAAGAGTACCTTTTCATCACTTGTTTGCCTGATGAAGGGGATCCTGTGAGACCCCGAAACGTTGTATCTTGTGTTTTGCATTTGCAACAAGTACGTGAATAAATAGACATACTGGATTTGCTTTGGAGTGCCGGTGTCCATCTTTTACTTAAGAGTACCTGTCACTGTTTGGGTGTTTGGGTCTACTGACATCTGTTCTTTATTTTGTGTGAGGTGTAATCAACCTCATTGTGCCTTTATATCTTTACTGTTAGTTTTCCCTTTAACCCTTTCGCTGCCAAGCCCTCGAACATTTTTCAAATCAGCTGGCCAAGCCATTTTACTCTCCAGCCTTAATCACGGTACTGGACTCTAGAGAATGAGAGCATTTTTAGTTTTTTCAGACTTCGGGAGCAAAGTCTACTTCACAGAGGGTGTGTGTAGGTAACCTGCCCCAAGCAGTGGTGTCCCTAGTCTAAATTTAGCATTTCTGCTAGGCTGTAGTCAGCCTGATCTCTAACTGATAGTTCTGCTTTCTTTAGGTTTTCCCTAAGCTTATTTACTTCTGCCTGCTGCCCCTGGCAGTAGTTAGAGGGAATACAATAATACTAAGTTATACATCTTTATGCCTCCCTGGCCAACCACGAGGAGATTTTTTTACATGTTGGGGAAGGATATAAATGTTTGGGGTGACCTTGGAGATCTGGCTTTTTTCTCCCAGGATTTCTGCCTGTGAAGGATGTTCTGAGGAAAGGCTCTTGCCCCCAGGCTTGCTGCTTGGGGGAGGTTGTTGCTGAAGAGGGACCCCAAGCCTGTGGCCTGGAACCTTCCTGCAAATGTTTCTGATTTTTTTTTGTTTTGTTGGGCCCCACCTGGTATTTTATAGTTTTACCTTCAGCATCAAATAAGAAGGGGCAGGCAAGTAGCTACTTAGATTGAAGCACTAGGGATGAATACTTCACTGCTGAAGAGTGTCCAGAAGAGCTGGGGACATTGCAGGAAGTTCTGGTGGTTCATCCAGAGAGTATGCATGCTGCCTAAAAGCTGCTATATAGGCTTGAGTGCTGTATCTATGGGTATTGAGTATCTAGGGGTCTTCATCCACCTTCAGGGGGTAAGGGGGTGCCACACATGGATGTGTGGTACCTTCTGTGGTTACAGTTCAGGTGGTTCAGTGAGAAAACAACTTAAGTACAAGAAAATATGGATTCATTATGTCTTCATTTATGCTGTTATTAACAGAGAGCAGAGACCCACATGTGTCCTTTGTTTGGAAGTGTTGGTGAAAGCACTAGACCTACCTTGTCAAGGTGATTTACTGTTTTGATGCAGATTTTCTTGTCCTGGAACATAATCCAGTTCTTTTACAGCATTCCATAGATAAACGACAGTAAATGCTTTGTTATCTTAAAGTGTATGTCAAGGCAAAATACAAATTAAAAAAAACATGCTACAAGTACAGAACAATAAATGTCTGTGCTCACCACAGATTAATGTACCTGGAAACAGGTATATGAATTTGGCACAATTACTGCTGTGAACAGTCAACTCACAAGATTTCTGGCAGGATCCACAGTTTGTTTTGTTTTTTCTACAGGTTTTTCTTTCTTTCTTTTTTGCAGTTATCAAACAATAGTACATTTAACAGACTAAAAAGCAGTAAAATAAGAGTTTATTACTAGGGTTCACATGCATTTTGATTTGTATTTAGATCTGCAACTGTAAGCTTACCAGTAGTGGACCGTCATAGAACAAACCTGCTTTCAGGATTTACTTTGTTGTTTCAAGCAGTCCAAATATCTTGCCTTTTTTTCTAGATGAAAAATCTTATGCAATAAAGATGATGGAGGAAAGTTATAAGCAGGAAATCAGCCGACTGAATAAAAGACTCCAGTGGTTTGCAGAGAACCAAGAAATGTTGGATAAAGATGCTGCAAGGCTTAGAGATGCTTATGAACAAATAGAAAAGCTAAAGTCTCAGGTATGTCATATGACTTCAGATCTACTGTATTTGCACCCAAAATGTTAGTAAATGTGAAAGTGACAATCTTAATTGTGTTTCTCCTTCCAAGGTTGAAAAGCTAACGCAGAATGCTGGAAATCAGTCTGTGCAGCAGCAGCAACGACTAAAGGACAGATCTGCTGATGCAAAACGCATTCAAGATCTTGAGCGACAGGTGAGACTAGAATAGTCCTTTTTTTTTTTTATGCAGCTTTACTGTTTCTGAATTATTATTTTTTTTGGCCCCCACCTGGTGTTTATACTTTTACCTTCAGAATCAAATCAGCGATCTTTACTGTGCGGCCCTGCTCCAAGACGCAAAGCCTTTCTCCTGAAAATGGCTGCCTCTTATTGTGCATGCACACCGCTGCCTCATTCACTGCTGTGTGAAAGCCATACTCTGACCTTTTGAAGCATATTAGCATTCTGTATATTCTACAAACAATTGATTAAAGTTTTTATACCTGAAGCTTCTTCTATTATCTCCTTTGGCACTTCTCAGAAATACAATTATCAACTGTATTCTGCCTACTCTTGCCTAACCAAGATCAATGAATATTTGAAAGCGATACAGCAAAAGCACATTGTTTTGTACCTTTTTTCTTTAGTGGTCACGTGATCGAATAGCCTCCTTTGCCAAGCGTTTGATGCCTGTGCATTGCGTTCCTGCTATGCGTGAGGCCATCCTGCCCACCCATTGTTGGAAGTGTTCCCTGTTTGTGTGGAATCACGATCCAGCAGCTGCGTGTTAATAGTGAGGCACCTGCTGGGAGCCGCTCTCAATCAACTCAGAAGTACTGGGAGGGGGGCATGGCAGCCAAACTCGCCAGAGGGAATACAGACAAGTCATGCGTCACCACGGTGCCCTGTATCTCCTTGTAGAAAGAAAGAGGCGCAAACTGATCACGCCAGCATGGATCTTATTTCCTTGCTTGGCGTAGTCAGAAATAACGGTCTCAGTAAAGAACAGTCTGCATTACCCACAACAGCATAACTAAACAGTCACATACTTGTGGTACAAATTGTTTTGGTAACATACACTTTAAAGCAGTCACTTGTATTATTTTCCACAGCTTAGTCATCTAACTCCCACCATGTATATTGATTTTTATTCTTTGCTTCTGTGTGCAGTAAAAACTAGACTTTGACAGCTCACTTCCCTTCATTTCTGACCATACTCTGCAAAGAGATGGACTCTTGATTTGACAGCTCTCATCTTACTGTCTCTGTACTTTCCAGACACAAAACAAGGCTCCCCTTCCAGTTCTAGTGCCTGCGCTGATTCTGTGAGAGTGTGCCCCCTCCTTCTGCATTCTTGGGACCTCACCTGTGTCTGGAAAGTGCAGGGACAGTAAGATAGAAGCTGTCAATCAAGAGACTCTCTCCTTTGCAGTTCGTGGTTGGGAATGAAGAGTAGTGTCAAAGTCTGTATCTTAGTTTCTCCTGCACACAGAAGCATGGGAAAAGCGACATACACTGTGGGAGTTAAGTGACTGAGCTATAAAAAAAAATACAAGGAGAGACTTCTTCTTTAAGTGAATTACAGGTTTTAATTATAAGAAGATTGCTCAGGTTAGATTTGTGGCAGAAGACCAATGACCTGCCACAGGCATAAGACTATACGTAATGGTATCATTTGAAATGCTTAAAGTCAGTTATTGAATCTCTGAGAAGCAATTATAGCAAAGAACTTCAATCAGCTGTGAATGCTATCAAGACACTACGCTATTGAGATACTGTGGGGGTTATTCACTTAGCTGCCGACGGCAGCCGAGTGAATAACCAAGCCGAAGTGAACAAAGCCGAACAATGTTCGGCTATTCACTCCGTCTCACTACGGCTGATTTAAGCCGTACATCGGTTAAAATCAGCCGTACATCGGTCAGCCGAACGGAGGTCCCTCTCTGCAGTTCACCCCTATTCTCATAGGGGCTGAATGGCAGTGAGTGAATAGCAAGCGGCATTCGGCTTGGCTATTCTGCTTGGTACCTCCGAGGTACCAAGCAGAATAGAAAATAAGTGAAAATATTTTTTTCTACTTTTTTTTCATTATTTTAAAAAATTTAAAAAAAATAGGAACATTAAAAAATAAATATTTTGAAGAACGAATTAAAAAAAAAAAAACCCGCACGCCAACCCGGACTGCATGTGACGGATTCCCACCGCATAATGAAGCATCGGACAGATGCCGCCGAAAGAAAAACAATTGTGCGGAGCTAACGGTGACAGCTAGCTCTACCCAACTGTTTCCTATTGACTGGTACCAGCCAGAGTCTTCTAGCAGGTCCCGGCCAATGAATGACAACTGGGCGGAGCCCACGACTTTCTCTGCCCAGCTGTCATTTGCGTGGAGATTGGTGGTGCTTCGGCCGACCTTTCTGCATGCTTCGGCTGTAACTTCGGCTCAGTCGAGCTAAAGCATATGCCTTGGCTCGGCAGCCCTCGGCTGCTATACAGGCTATTGTCAATAGCCCGTACAGCAGCCCTTCGGATCGAAGCGAGCCGAAGGATCAGCCGAAGCTACGGCTCGATCCTTCGGCTCTTTAAAGAATAACCCCCTTTGACATTGTGACATTCTGTGATAACAGAATAACTTAAGAAAATGTTATCACCTATATCATGAGTGTAGCAAAGTGAAACTTAACTTTTACCGAATGCAGTGTCTGAAAAGATGATATATGTAGACTGCCTACTATATTTTAATCTCTACCAGCATATTTGTCTCAGACTGCCAGCATGCCTTGTTTAAATTTTGCCTTTCCATTTAACCTGGACGAATATTAGTGTCGCTGCTGTAAATTGCAGAAACATTGACAACGTACGATGATTCTTACAAGTGGAAAAAATAATTCATGGGGCCCTGCTTTGCTAAATACCATTTTCTGCAGTGTAATAGGGCTACACCATCCAATACTTCTGTCAGAGCAGGACTCGCTTGTCGCGGCTTACTTGCTGACCCTTGTCTTGTAAACACAAATTCAGCGGTGGAGTCTTTCACTACATACTTTATTTTCCATGTCCTGTCATCTGTCAGAGCTGCGGTACATAGGCACATAGAGAAAGTAAGTAGTGTAAGACTCCTCTGACAGCGTTTACAAGTTACATCGCCCAGTGAGTACATTGCTGTCAAATCATGCTCTGACAGAGGTCTGGGGGATTGGCTAAGGCATTTTAATACATTACTATTTATATAGGGCTGGGCCAAAGGGTACTGTACTCCTGTCATCCTACCTGGGCTTTCTGTGCCTGCCTTGTCCTCTCAGCCCACAGCCAATACCTTGTGCCCATGCAGGATTTACGCAATATGCCTATGCTGACCCAGTAAACTCAGCACTTGTTCCAGGAAAGCAGAAATTGGGGCTCTGTATGGTTGTACATGGCCCCTCTCACATTAAAATGTGATCTGCTGCCTGATTTGGTAGTGACACACAGCTAGGGAAAAGGTGGAGGTGATTCTTTACCAGCCAGCTTTTGAAACCTGTCTTCAAGCAGTCTGTCCCCCTTGATATCACATAATGTTCCCACTAATTTTCCATTTTTCATATTCTTTGCCTTGCTATGATTAGACCACATTTTTGAAAACCACAATTTTGATTTTAGTAGCAAGCTTTATTAAGTGCATATTTAATGGCACCCCAGAGAACTATTACAGTGGTGGTCACCCACGCTGCAGAGTACCACAATGCACATTCTGCATTGTGGTGCTCTGCATTGGAAAAATAGGCCAGTTCAATGTTTTTCTGTGTTTAGTGTGCACTAACAACCTGCTCAACATGAATGGGCTGCCCTAACGCATAACACCTTAACACACAATATAAATTGTTTATAGGTTCCTTTGAAACCACATCGTATTCACCATGGCCACCAATCTGCTGTGGTACAAGATAAGTGTCCCTAAAGTGAAAAAGGAAAGCTGGTTGTGCTTGCCGCCCAGGCCAAGATTTCCCAGTCCATCCCTGGTTGAGGCCCTTACCATCCTTTAAGTCCTTTCACTTGTATATGAACAAAATCCAAAACGTGTATTTGTTTGTTTTTAGTTATGAAGGCTATATTCAGGAAGTGTATATTTTGCATTTTTACATTTCTTTTTTTAATAACATTATTTTATGATTTTTAAATTGCTATATTTTGTGAGTCTTGAACTTCTTTCACCAATATAATTATTTGAACATGAAAATAATTACAAATAGGTGAAAGAAATGGAAGGAATTATAAAGAGAAGACACCCTAACTCCATACCAGCAATCATGTATGCAGCAGCCGCAGCTTCTGAGACAGACAGCTCAGCCAAAAGTAGCACTGTCTCCTTTTTAGAAAGACGAATACAAAAATTAGAATCCGATCTTGAGAGCAAGGATGAAGAAGCAAAGAAGAGTCTGCGTAGCATGGAGCAGCAATTTCAAAAAGTCAAGGTAACCTTTTGCAAACTTTTTCACATTTTAAAGCTTTTAGACACATGTCTATGCAGCTTAAGGGTTGGAGGTCATGGGAGAGCGACACTTGATGAAAAAGCTCTAGTGGTTGGCTAGACAAACGTAATGTAGCTTTGTAATTGCATTTACTTTAGTAAATAGTTCATAAATTGTGAGACATAATTTTCCACTAATGAAACAGACCATGAAAAGTAGTTGATGACAATAACATAGCAGAAACATCTTTAAGCTGTGTTGTCTCATTAGCAAAGTAAGTGAGAGCTTAAGTACAGGGTGCAACTGCTTTCCCATGATGTCCCACTGCGTCTGATCTAGCGTGGGCAGTTCAAAGGAAGCACAAGCAGATATAAACATGAATTAAATTGTACTGGTTGTAAAACTGAACAATAAACTTCAATTTGCTTTATTTTAGGCTGTTAAATATACAATTAAAAGTGTTTTTATATCTTTAAAAAAAAACTGTTCTGCCAAAAATCTTGTGAACTGGTAACTTCTGCTGACTGTTATCAGTTAACATTGTTCCCTGTTCTCTCTGTGGACTACAGAACTCTTTCTCCCTAAGTTATAGCGAAGATGAGATGGAGGTGTTCCATAGTCCTGCCCTAGGGTAAAAATGCTTCTCTTCCATTGATTCAAAACTGTGAGTGAGTGTTGTCACCCTTGGACAGGAAGTGTATTACTGGCAGGATCACCTGCCTGAAAACAAAGAAAACTAAAGCAGCTACCACATCCAACTGATAAGCTGAATTTTATATAAACCTTTTGCTCATGGATTTAGATATGTTTTAAGTAACAGCACCACCAGCGAGTGATTTTCAAGCAACAGAAAATATGGCAATCTAAAAAATATTTAAAAGGAAACTTCAGGCAAGCAGCTAAATCAGTGGTACTCCATTACCCATGGCTTCAAGTAGTTTTAAACTCTCAAACTTTTTTCAATAATGAATCCAGATCAAACAAATATATACATTGCCAAGGAAAGCATTGCTTTAGATTTTTGCCAAAACACTTACAATCATCATGTTTCTGAACAGCTGCTTCCAAGTCTCTCGGCTCAGCTTCCCTGAACTTCCTGTCCTGTACAAGATCACAAAGGACAGAGCAGACCCCAGCAACTGTTTATCTACTAGCTTAAAGAAGGGAAGAGAGGGTTCCATGGGGGAGGGGAGTAGCTTGATTTGCTGTGTCTGTGTTTGTGGCGACACACCCAGCTTACTAGCACACACAAGGGTGACTGCATAGCACTTTACTTGACAAAGGAGTCACTCTAAAACAGGATGTCGGGACCAGTGTTCAGGGGACCAGCTGATTCTGCAGGAAACTAAAACTTTTAAACATAAAGGAGCAGCTTGCATTGTAGGTAATTTAATCAGCATTTGAAATAGCTTAAAGTCCTTTTGACTTTGATATCACTTTCAGCGCCAATATGAGGATGCAAACAAGTGGCGTAGTGGTGCTTCTGCTTTGCAGCATTAGGGGTCCCTGGCCTAAATCCTGTCCAGATCACTATCTGCAAGGAGTTTGCATGTTCTCCCTGTGCTTGCCTCCGGGTATTCCGTTTTCCTCCCGCACACCAAAGACATGCTGGTAGGTTAATTGGCTCCTGTCTAAATTGGCCCTCGTATGTATGTATGCATGTGTGATAGGGATCTTAGATTGTAAGCTCCTTGACGGCAGGGACTGATGTGACCGTGCAGAATGTAAAGAGCTGCGTAAATTGTTGGCACTATGTAAATACCTGTAATAAATAAATAAGAATGCCACGTGACATTGCTGATATAATGTGGACCACTGTGACACCACTTTTTTTTACAGACATATGCGCAGTATCTGCTCATTCAATTCTGAGCTTTAAAGAAAATGTCTGTCACACTTGCTGTCACTTCCAGACAGGAATGTGGTAGAGTTTAAATTACGGTAGCTTTTTCACAGAGGCAAAGTTCTTTTATTTCTTTTTCAAAGAAAGCATTATTTTATTTCTATTTCACAGGCTTAACAATTTTAAAATATAATTTTAATGAAAAGAAAAAGTGTGCAGCAAGTATTTACAGAAACAAAATGAAAAACAGACATAAGTAAGAATAAAATAAAAGGATTTTAACAGTAAAAAAGTAAGTGGAGTCGGCCTGGTCTTTGGTTCAGTACAGAGTTCTTGCAGAGTAAGTCCAATCTGATATGGCAGGGTAACTGCCTCTCGGAAACGTGACTCTCAGTATCCTTGGTAGTTATGATGTCGGAGCACAGAGGTGCTAATGTAACCGCTTTTCCTTGACCCTTGTGAGGGTGTTATAGTCCTAATTTCTACCCAATCAAAGGGGCCAAGGGGTGTGTTGAAGGTATACTGGAGTGTTTTATAATGCCTAGTTGACAACCTTATTAGCAACTATCCTGAGTACATCTATATTTCCATATGACTAGATTTCACAATCCGGCAACTAGCATATTTTTTAGCAGAGTAAAATAAAAATTTGAAAGAAACCAAACATGTATGTTTCTCTTAGGAGGCCTAATGTATCTTATTAGCTATCTGGACCTGGTAATATAGGCGTGTTTGGTATCTGTTAGAGCAGGGCTCAAAATTTCCACTCGCCCGCTCGCAATTGGCGAGTGAAAATTGCGTGGGGGCGAGTATACAGACATCTAGAAAATGCTCTTGGAATTGGGTATTGGCACACTTCTGACCTTTTTAAGCCTCATTCACACAGCGTAAAGTCGGGCCCTACAGATCCGTTTGGCGTGCGTGGCTGTATTGGGCTGTTCCCGGGAGAGAGACAGGTGCTGTCTCTGATTTGCACGCAGCAGCCTGTTCTTCCCTATGAGAGGACACGACCGTACGCACAACCGAGCTGCACATCCGTGCGGGTCCGGGTGTCTGTACTTGGACACATACAGAATGGATCCTGTCTGCCTCCGAGCACGGACACCCGGACACGCATGAATGTGCAGTTTGGGTGTGCGTATGACAGCGTACGGCCACATCCTCCCATAGGTAAGAACAGGCTGCTGTGTGCAATCACATGCAGCACCTGTCCCTCCCAGCAACGGCCCGGTACATCTGTGCATGCCACACAGATCTGTATGGCCCAACTTTATGCTGTGTGAATGAGGCCTTATACTAAATCTAAACCCCAAAACAAAAATGTTATATATTGCAGCTTACCAGTTGTTGTAGTGGTTACATTTGTTTTCTGTAATAATTTACCTTTAACAAAATAAAAGGGGCCAAAAAAGGGAAGCAGTTCAGTCAAGGTTTACATGCATTTGACAGTTTTGAGATAGTTCCTTAACCTTTTCTACAGATGCAGAATTTGATATAAAGGTTGATTGCTGGCAATATGTATAAGAGATTAAATTACTTTTTGTTAAGACAAAATATGAATATATGCAGTATCTCACAGAAGTGAGTACACCCAGGCCCGGATTCCCCACAGAGGCCCAGCCTCTGGGCGGCAGGGCGCAGAGGGGCGGCAGCGATGTCCTTGTAAGGAAGTTGAGGGCGCCGGACGGTAAGTTGCCCTCTCTATATTTCGTCCTGCTTTGCACAAGCAGGACTAAATGTAGAGTGAGGGAAGCCGATTGTTCGTTTACATGTGATCTCGGCGATGTCACTGAGATCACATGTAAAAAGTCTGCGGCCGGTCCGTCCTCCCTCCTGCACTTACCTCGCTGGCTCCGTCCTCCACCGCCGAGTCTCTTCTCACTGCAGTGAGCAGAGCGGCAAGGTTAAAAGTAACCCTGCCGCTCCGTGTATACAGTGAGAGGGGAGAGCTGTGCTCTTCCTCTCTCACCTGCCACAGGAGTTCCAGCACAGTGCTGTGCTAGAACTCCTGTATTGGAGGTGACGGGGTCAATAAAGAGAACCTGTCACCTCCAATTGCTATCACACAGGGGATTGTTTTCTCATGTGTGATAGCAATAAAGCTAGGTGGAAAAAACATTTAATTGATATAAAAAAATAAAAATTAGAAAAACAAATAATATGAAATAATTAAAAAGTGATAAAGTTTAAAAAAAATACAGTAAAAAAAAAATTGAAACTAACCCCGCCGCCCTGCCATCTGGTTGCCATTCTCCATTGATGGGAAGGGGGGGGTTGGCTGGGGGGCGCGTATTGCGGAACCTAGCCTTGGGGCGGCAGGGAGAGTAAATCCGGCCCCGAGTACACCCCTCACATTTATGTAAATATTTTATTATATCATTTCATGTGACTACACTGAAGAAATTACACTTTGCTACAATGTAAAGTAGTGAGTGTACATCTTATATATCAGTGTATATTTGCTGTCCCCTCAAAATAACTCAACACACAGCCATTAATATCTAAACTGCTGGCAACTAAGTGAAAATGTCCAATTTGGCCCCAAAGTGTCGATATTTTGTGTGGCCACCATTATTTTCCAGCACTGCCTTAACCCTTTTGGGCATGGAGTTCACCAGAGCTTCACAGGTTGCCACTGGAGTCCTCTTCCACTCCTCCATGACGACATCACGGAGCTGGTGGATGTTAGAGACCTTGCGCTCCTCCACCTTCTGTTTGAGGATGCCCCACAGATGCTCAATAGGGTTTAGGTCTGGAGACATGCTTGGCCAGTCCATCACCTTTACCCTCAGCTTCTTTAGCAAAGCAGTGGCGTCTTGGAGGTGTGTTTGGGGTCGTTATCATGTTGGAATACTGCCATGGGGCCCAGTCTCTGAAGGGAGGGGATCATGCTCTGCTTCAGTATGTCACAGTACATGTTGGCATTCATGGGTCCCTCAATTACCTGTAGCTCCCCAGTGTCCCAGACCATGACACTCCCACCACCATGCTTGACTGTAGGCAAGTACTGTGTAGGCTGTACTCCTCACCTGGTTGCCGCCACACACGCTTGACACCATCTGACCCAAATAAGTTTATCTTGGTCTCATCAGACCACAGGACATGGTTCCAGTATTCCATGTCCTTAGTCTGCTTGTCCTCAGCAAACTGTTTGCGGGCTTTCTTGTGCATCATCTTTATTAGATTCAATATGAGAGTCGGATCAATGAGCTTGAAGAATTACTTGCTCAGAAAGCTCTAAATGAGCCACAAAATTGCGTGGATAGTACAATAAAAGTGAAAGCACTTGAGCAAGAGCTTTCCATATTTAAGGAAGCTCACCATATTACAGTAATGAATCTGCAAAAAGAATTAGAGACCTTCAAGGAGAAGAATTCCATTTTAGAGCATAAAGGTAATGCTAAATTTGATGAAATGACAGAGCAAAGCAAACTGACAAGACTTAACAAAGAACTTACAGCTAAACATAAAGAGATTCAAGAGCTTTCAAAAACTGTGGAGCGACTTCAGAAGGAAAGGATGCTCATGCTCTCCAGCAAACGGCAAGAAAGCAGCTCCAGTGCTAGAAGCAAACACTTGGGGGCCACCAAAGCAGAGGCCATTCCTCCCTTAAAAGGCAATACCCTAGAGACTGAAAGCTTTCCTGCAATGCTAGATGAAAAGCTGTATCAGCCAGACACATTTGCTGATTTTCACATTTCTGATCTGCAACAAGAAAATGAAAGATTACAAGCTGAAGTCCACAAGTTGTCTCAGGAAATCAACCAGCAAAATATCAAGTATGAAACTGTTCAGGCACGTGGAGAAGATGCCACGAAAAGGTACAGAATTTTCTAATTGCTGTTACTTGAAGAATAAGTGCAGCACTTTAAGCACTTATCCTTTATTCTTACTTTTGTAATGGCCATGACAATATGAGATGGTTAGTGTGTGAAAGTGCTTTCTATAAAAGTCTCCCTGACACAAACATTTAATGTGGTCTACCTTTCTTTGGAGACTTGTTTGGGGGCTTTACCCATAGAGCAATGGTGCCATTTTGGATAAACGCAATATACCCTTTTCTTGTTACTGCACACTTCCTGGCCTCTTAAAGGGCTGCCCATAATTATGGGGTGGGCAGTCTTCTGCTGCTGTTCAGGAGGACACTCTACTGAGCCTGGGAAATCCCTTTCAAAGTGTGGCTGCAGATACAGCAATTTCTTAACCATTCCTTAAGGGATACAGTCAGAAGAATTGGGTTGTTTTGCTGAGATATGACCTTTTGATAGTACTCAAGGCCAGATGTTGATCCAGACCAGAGTGTTGAAAAGTCAGAACCTATGGCGTATGTGCTGGGTTGGAATTTCCTTGTCTCACACCATGCGAAGTACACTTTTCCAGTGCAATAGTAGACCTTGTGAGAGGTGGGTTTCCTAGATTTTAGGAGCATAACAATAATGAATCAGGAAGGCCTCTATCTATTAGGACCTGGGTTTGAACAGCCATGTCAGTAAAGCCAGTGACCATGAAGCGCGGTGGTAAACTGGTCTTTGGGACATACACTTGTGCTCAAAAGTTTACATACCCTGGCAGAATTTATGATTTCCTGGCCATTTTTCAGAGAATATGAATGATAACACGAAAACCTCTCTGTCACTCATGGGTAGTGTTTGGCTGAAGCCATTTATTATCAATCAACTGTGTTTTACTCTTTTTCAATCATAATGACAACAAAAACTACCCAAATTTACCCTGATCAAAAGTTTACATACCCCAGTTCTTAATACTGTGTGTTGCCCCCTTTAACATCAATGACAGCTTGAAGTCTTTTGTGGTATGTGTGGATGAGGCTCTTTATTTTCTCAGATGGTAAAGCTGCCCATTCTTCCTGGCAAAAAGCCTCCAGGTCCTGTAAATTCTTGGGCTGCCTTGCATGAACTGCACGTTTGAGATCTCCCCAGAGTGGCTCAATGATATTGAGGTCAGGAGACTGAGATGGCCACTCCAGAACCTTCACATTTTTCTGCTGTAGCCAATGACAGGTCGACTTGGCCTTGTGTTTAGGATCATTGTCATGTTGGAATGTCCAAGTACGTCCCATGCGCAGCTTCCGGGCTGATGCATGCAAATTGTCCTCCAGTATCTTTTGATAACATACTGCATTCATCGTGCCATCAATTCTGACCAACTTTCCTGTGCTTTTGTAGCTCCCACATCCCCAAAACATCAGTGGGAATGGTGTACTTTTCATCATAGGCCTTGTTGACTCCTCTCCAAATGTAGCGTTTATGGTTGTGGCCGAAAAGATCAATTTTGGTCTCATCACTCCAAATGACTTTGTGCCAGAAGGTTTGAGGCTAGTCTCTGTGCTGTTTGGCGTATTGTAAGCGGTATACTTTGTGGCATTTGCGTAGTAATGGCTTTCTTCTGGCGACTCGACCATGCAGCCCATCTTTCTCCAAGTGCCTCCTCATTGTGCATCTTGTAACAGCCACACCACCTGTTTTCAGAGTGTCCTGTATTTCACCTGAAGTTATTTGTGGGTTTTTCTTTGCATCCCGAACAATTTTCCTGGCAGTTGTGACTGACAGTTTAGTTGGTCTTCCTGACTGTGGTTTGGTTTCAACAGAAACCCTCATGTTCCACTTCCTGATTATAGTTTGAACACTGCTGATTGGCATTCTCAATTCCTTGGATATCTTTTTATATCCCTTTCCTGTTCTATACAGTTCAACTACCTTTTCCCGCAGGTCCTTTGACAAAATTCCTTTGCTTTCACCATGACTCAGAATCCAGACACGTCAGTGCAGCACTGGATGAAGGATGCAAGGGTCTGTCTGGAGGCCAGAAACTAATTGGCCTTTTATACACACACACTGATTACATGCAAACAGATCACAGGTGAGGAATGTTCCCTTTTAATAGCCATCCACACCCCTTTGTGTCAACCTGTGTGCATGTTATCAGGCCAAAATCACCAGGTTATGTAAACTTTTGATCAGGGTCATATGGGTAGTTTCTGTTGTCATTATGATTGATAATAAATGGCTTCAGCCAAACACTACCCATGAGTGACAGGTTTTCGTGTTATCATTCATTTTATCTGAAAAATGGCCAGGAAATCATAAATTCTGCCAGGGTATGTAAACTTATGAGCACAACTGTAAGATTCAGGTGATCTGGGAGAGCTCACAGATTGTCAGGAGTCTGATGAGGGCCGTGTACCACATACAGCTAACATAAAACTGAGGTATGATGGGAGTTGCAGTGGTTATACCTGGCTTTGTTTAACTGTGTTGAATCTCCTATAGGCAGCAGTATAATCTAGTTTTCTCATAATCCTTCTGGCCCCAGTGTCCCTTATTGAACTACAAGAAAAAAAGATTGACATTAAGCCAAAAATCCGATTTTCTCACCCCTGCTCCAGCTATTGCTGATATCCATCCTAGAGGTCATAAGTATGTTCTAATTATGTCACATCACCTCTGTTTGGGTCTGCACAGTGTCTAGGTCTGCTCAGTGTCTGCTATCACCCTTACTGTTGTGGGCAACATATGTGACATGGCATGGCGTACATCTCTTCTACCTTGGAGCTTATTGCACAGGCCTTTGCTATTTCTGTCCTTTTTGTGGACTGTTTTAAAAGGGTCTCTGGAGGAGTCTCACAGGACCTACATAGGATTATCCTTTATTTATTTTTTTTACTCCCCCTCTAGATCCTTTTGTTATTGCGGTGTCATCCCCATCCTTGGACTAGTTCTTTTAGGATGGAGCTTACTGAACAGCCCTATGCCTTTTCGTAGCAAGGCTGTCTAATATAATTAGGAAACTCACAGGTGGCAAGAGTACCTTCTTGCCTCAAACGGAGAAGTAGGTTATAGGCACGAAGGTATTCTGCTCACCTTCTCTTTCACATGTCCTTTTCATCCTTAAGGAACCTCCAACAATGGAGCCAAGGCATCAAAGTGCTCCTCCACATGAGGCATCAAATGTCCCTGGCAGGCTATGTTGGCCAAGCCTGTGGAAAATCCCTCCTCCAGGCTTGCCCCCTCCAGTGCTTCTCCTGGTGCAGGGGCATCTTTTTTTCTTTGCAGACATCTGGTTGACCCACATCTCAAGGCACATGGGATTGCAGGCTGGTGGTCTTGGGTTACAAACTCACCCATCAGGGTGGTTTGCCCCTCCAGTCTTTGCCCCAGTCCACAGCTCCTGACAGATATGCGCTTGGCGGTTTAAGGCCTTTTGGCCCAAGGATTGTCCCGGATCCCCCCCCATCATACTGAACAGTGTTGAGGTAATCCAAATCTTGCAGCAGACAGAAAATTATGTTTTAGCCCTTTCAAAAGTGTACTGTGGAAGATTGTCACCAAACCTGGATCAAAAAAAGTGGTATCTCCACCAGGAAACCTTTTGCCAGTCATTCCAGTAGCACCAGCTTGGCCTCGCTGGACTTTGTATGTGGACCTAGTTTGTCTGTTTGCTAACGGTCCTTGCTGTTTTCTTTTTCATCTAGAACTGCTTTCTCAAGGACCCATCTTCTATCCTGCTTTACAGTCACTGTCTTAATGGCCCGGCTATTAAAAGCCAGGTCCAGAAGGATAGGGTCTGTCTCCTGTAATTATCTCCACTATACTCAAGGTGTAAACGTTTAACTCAGACATTCAGCAGCCACCATTTGGAAACATTAGGGACCTGTATGGACTGTTTCCCTGAAGGTCGTCTTTTTGGTGGCTTCATCCGAGGCCTTCCTTCCTTCCTAGGCCAGTGTTCTCCTTTCATCTGATCCCTGATATTGGCCTCCCATCACTCTGTCCTATAACCAGTTAATTGTAAAGAGATAGCTCTCCATTGCCTGGACATGGTCTGGGATGTTACATAGTATTTGGGGTTGAATAAAGACATGCGTCCATCAAGTCCAACCCATATAGGTCCACGCATCATCTCATTCTTAGGGATACTGGTATCCCTGGATATTACAGTCCCTCAAGAAATTGTCCAAACTAGTTTATTTTTTAGTCACAAGGTACATTACTTTGCAATTATCAACATTAAACCTCATCTGCCATAGTATTGCCCACTCCCCTATTTTATCCTGTACAGCTTCTTCTGTAAGACGGATTCCCTTTTTGTGGCCACAGATGCGCCACAGGAAGGCTAAGCACAATCTGTGTCCACTATCCTCATTGAGTTTGCCAAACTGTAGCTCAGACTTGTGTTATCAAACACTTGGATCCTCCATTTCCAGGTTTGGGCCTCTCTGAGGACAGCCAGTGGTCATTTACTGCTTGACTATTGAACTGTGCTCTCCTTTGCTGAGAGGTGTTGTGGCCACCAGCAGGGAGACCCTAAGCTGAGCCTTTTGTTTTGTACCTAGTGTCATGATAGAATAGAGTGTCGATCAATGAACTCTGAAAAAAAGGATTTTACAGTGAGTACTAAAATTTTCATTTTATACTTTTACTAATTACTGCACTTTGTGCCCTCGCTCTTTGAACTGTTTTACTAAAATTACTCATATCTAGACTGTTGAATTATAGTCTAATCTGACACATCATTACCGGCATGCAGGTATCATTTGTGATTGTATAATGATGTTCTGTTATATTTTTTCTAGATTAAAAGAGGAAAATGCTGAGCAAATTGCAGCACTTAAGAATTTACACCAGAGGAACATGGAAAAGCTAATCTGTCAGCATGCCATAGAACATTCATCATCTAGAGTTGCTGAACTAAGTAGCAAAACCTCGACACAAGAGGTACAGGTTTACACTGCAATTCAGATAATAACCATCTTGTTGTTTTTGTATTCCATTAGTTTCCAGTGATTTTGTATTCATAATGCTGTAGTAATATTTTAACCTGTTCTTAGAGCTGCCAGTGGTCATGACAAGCTTGTCTGATGCTAGTAAACTCATATATATTTAGTACATCTCTGCAATATATGCACATTTCCCTACTTTGTATACCTTTAAACACACTGCAAGTACAACATAATAACGGTTGATGTGCCAGAAACATAGTACCGTATATACTCGAGTATAAGCCGTCCCGAATATAAGCCGAGGTACCTAATTTGACCAAAAAAAACTGGGAAAAAGTATTGACCCGAATATAAGCCGAGGGTGGGAAATGAGGCAGCTACTGGTAGATCTTACCTTCCTGTTTGAGCTGACAACACATTAGGCCCAATAAACTATTGATAGTGTGCCACATATTTGGCGTACAGAACACTGATTTATTGAATGCCCCAAATAGCTGTCCAAGTTGAAGGATTTGAACAGTAAGATGCAATTAGTGGGTCATATTGTAAAATTACAAAGTGTGACATGCCATAGATACGACGCACAATCTGCACCAGTTAAATCAATATTTAGTGCAGTGGAGGTGTGTAGGATACCAAGAGGATGATGGCACAAGACCGTGAAGATTATTGTTCCTACTTCTGATACACTATAATGTTGCAGTACATATAGTTTATGTGAAATGCAATGCACCACAATCAGATGTGCCACGCAAGACTTTGCATTCCTCTACAACCACCATAAAGTTTTTTTGGCCAGTCTTTTCAGCTCTGAAATCCTAAGCACATGGTGGCAGCCTTGTCTACTTTGTTTCTGATGGATTACAAAGAACACAGACCCCCTCCTCATCTCCCCTCTATCGACATCCATAATCCTTATTTGTGCGCTGGCAGAGAGCACTGGAAGTCAACGGGAATATTTTTGCACCTAAATATATGTAATAAAATGCTTTCAATAGTATATTTAAAGGGAACAAATAAGAGAATGTTTTTGGTAGGGTTTATATACACGTTAATACTTACCAGTTTTATATTATTATACAAGATTTATATAGCACCAACTGTTTGAGCAGTGCTTTACAATATAAGGAAGACATTACAATTCAAGACAAGATGGTAAAGAGGGCTCTGCCCCTGAGGAATAACAATCTAAAAGGGAGGGGCAAGTGATACAAGAGGTGGTAGTTGCGTGGGGATGAATTGTTTGAGAACGTGATAGTTCAGTAGTTAGTTTGATGCAGGACAGGCTTTCCTGAAGAGATGAGTCTTTAGGAATTGCCTAAAGGCACTCAGGGTGGGAGATAGTCGGACAGGTTGGGGTAAAGAGTTTGGAGGGTGGGAGAGATTCTAGAGAAGTCCTGGAGGGGAGCATAGGAGGAGTTGATGAGAGAGCTAGATAGCAGGATGTCTTTGGGAGGGGACGGTTAGGGTGATACTTTGAGACAAGGTTTGAGATATAGCCGGGGACAGAGTTGTGGATGGCTTTGTAAGTGGGTAATATTTTGAATTTTATCCTTTTGGCCTAGTGGAAGTCAGTGCAGGGATTGGCAGAGGGGGGTTGCAGACACTGAGCGGTTGGTTAGGTGTATGAGTCTAGCAGCAGCATTCATGATAGACTGAAGGGGGATATCCTGTGTGTAGTGGTAGGCCAATGAGGAGGGAGTTGCAATAGTCAAGACGAGAGAACAGGTGAGTTGATGAGTAGCTATGCTTTGTGGTTTCATTGGTGAGGAAGGGGCGTATTTTTGAGATGTTACGAAGGTGAAGGTGGCAGGATTTGAATAGTGGTGATTGTGGGGCAGAAAGGTGAGATCCGAGTCAAGGATGACACCTAGGACCTTGGCATGGGAGGAGGGGTGAATAATTGTGTTATCAATCTCAATGGAAAAGTTGGGGGAAGGTGCACCGGTGGGAGGAAATATGAGCTCAGTTTTTGACAGATTGAGTTTTAAGAAGTGTTGTGACATCCAGACTGATATGTCAGTTAGTAGATTAGTGACACGCAGAGACACTGAGGGGGTGAGTTGTGGAGTAGAAAGATGGATTTAAATGTGTCATCGGCATAGAGATGGTATTGGAAGCCATGTGAGTTTATCAGCTGACCAAGGGAGGAGGTGTAGATAGAAAAGAGAAGCCTTGGGGGACCCCTACAGAAAGAGGAAGTGGAGGGGAGGAGTTAGTTGTAAGTGACACTAAAGGAGCGCTTAGATAGGTAGGAGGAGAACCACAAGAGAGCAGAGTCTTGTAGGCCAAGCGAGTAGAGTTTTATGAGGAGCAGCAGGTGGTAAACAGTGTCAAAAGCAGGAGAAAGGTCCAATAGCAAGAGTAAGGAGTAGTGGCCATTATTTTTAGCAGTTAGTAAGTCATTAATGAGTTTTAGGAGGGTGGTTTCAGTGGAGTGTTGGGGGCGAAAGCTGGACTGTATGGGGTCAAGAAGGTTGTTATCAGGGAGTTGGTGGCTCAGGCAGTTGTAGATGAGGCACTCTAGTTTGGAGGTAAATGGGAGTAAGGAGATACATCTGAGATTGTTGAGGTTGGTAGGGTCCACTGAGGGTTTTTTGGGTATTGGGGGGACCAGCGCATGTTTTAGAGAGGAAGGAAAGATTGAAGATGTGAGTAAAGCTGGCCATACACCTATAGATTATCTGCAGATTTTCTATGGTCAGATGGAAAAAGTGCAACAGATTCCTCCATCTACGCTAAACTGTGTGGATGGAGGAATCTCCCACTGGGCCAAGCTTCAGTACCTTCTAGTCGGCCCCGCTGGCTCTCAAAATACCTGAACAGTGCCTGCATACAATCAGATTGTTCAGGTATTTTGACAGCCACCAGCGGGGACAAACTAGCAATATTCTGAAGCTTTGGCTCAGTAGGAGATTCCTCCATCCACACAGTTTAGCGTAGATGGAGGAATCTGTTGCACTTTTTCCATCTGACCATAGAAAATCTGCAGATAATCTATAGGTGTATGGCAAGCTTTAGCGAGTGTAGGATGGAGCAAGAGGGTGAAGTAGTGGTGAGTGAAAACTGGGTCCAGGGGGCAAGTGGTGAGGTGGGTGCCAAAGAAAAGCTTTGTAACCTATAGATGATCTTTTTTCCCTTTTTGTGATGATCGATGATTTAGCTATATTGAAATAGCATTTCTGTAGGTGTATGTTGGATGTGCTTATGTATTCTCAATTTTTATCATTTCACCATGCTAACATGTCATCATAATCTACAGATCCTGATAAAGCATCTTCAAAAGCAAGTTAGTGAGCTGCAGAAGGATAGAGAATTGTTGGCTGTTCTCCACATTCGAGAGGAAACACTGCAAAATGAGGTACTTGGTGCAATTTTTATAAAACTAAACTAGCATGTATTGTTTACTAGAAGATGGGTGTAAATAGGTATGTCTTAGTGAAGATAATGTAAATGAGTTTATAAAACTACTTGTCAAAATTTTAGTTTGCTCTTTTTTTTTTTTTTTCCTTTCAATACTTGTCTTAATAAATAAAGATTGGTATGTTTAAAGACAAGTGCAGTATTACATCCAATATTGTAGTTTATATATCATACACCACTTTTAACTAGTTTTTGATCATTGTACAGGGCTCAACATAGTAATTTAAACAAACATTGGATTTTTGCGTGCTTGGGTCTATGCAGCTAGGCAGCTGCTTTGATTACATGAAATACAGTTCATTAAGTGCTTGTGAGCTACACAGAGCTCAAAATTTTGAGACATTGTGCTCTTTTGGGCAATCTTCTGATGAGTTTGTGGAGGTTATCTCTAACCATATGTGAGCATTTGAAAAACCAAGGCAGAGGAGCAAAGACTATCTTTACAATTATGCATGAGATGTGACATCACTGTAGAGTGGGAAAGATTTAAACATCTGTCTTTTTATTGCTGTTTGTATTTTTCCCATTGAGAATATCCACACGCTTCTTGTGCAGTTAGGGGAAAAGGGGGAGCTGAAATCTCCATAACAGGGACACAGAAAAAGAGAGGAATTAAATGTATGTACACCAATGCTAGAAGTCTGGCAAATAAAATAGAGGAGCTTGAAATTAGGCTAATTGAAGAGGACTTCGACATAGTGGGTATACCGGAAACCTGGCTGGACAGCACGCATGACTGGGCTACTTGAGGGTAAAAGAAACATGACCGGGGTTAGAAATGTATCCCACTTGAGTGAAAACCATAAAAACATATTGTGGCTGGAGTAAGGCTTTAGAGCTGCAATGTCATTCCTTGTCATAGCTAAATTATAATTTTTGCAATTCATGTACAGGTTACAAAACTTCTGGATGAACTTAAGACAGCTAGAGAATGTCACACACCAGAAATGAGGCACTATTTAACCCTGGAAAGCAAAATTAAGTACATGGAAATGAGACATTCACAACGAGAGCAGGAGCTCCAGCAGGTAAAGTAGCTGTTGCAGATCACTTGTTTTGGGCAAGATTTCCATAGGCTTCTAGAAATCGCCGAAGCTCAGAGCAATCCCAACAGGAGCCAGGAAGGTCTTCTTCCCCAATCAGTTGATTGCCAAAACAGCCAAGTATACTTCTGTAGCACAGCGGCACTCAGACAGGGCTTGGTCTCTAGAAGATCAGGTACACATGGAGTTAATTTGTGGACATGCAGATCATTTCCAATTTGGCAATTCAAACAATAAAATCTGCAGTCAAAATTGAGTAGAAGCATCATTTAACGGGCCCCACCATGTATTTTAGCTGACCGGGTAAAGAAGAGGACTTTAGGTGGGGGCATAGAGCCAATGGAAAATGTTAATTTTAATGGTTTGTGAATCATAGTATAGATGATTATAGTATAGAAGTTGTACACAAAAAAAGAAACCAAAAACACTCCTTACATGACTACAACAGCACCTTTGAATATTCAAAATTCTAATACAAAGAGGGAAGTTTGTATACTGGCTTCATAATGCAATGTTTACGATTCACAGAGCTGCATATTCAATAACATATTTAAACCATCTAAGAACAATAAATCTTACGCCACCAATGTGGATACCCATGTACATGTGTTCATATTAGATACATGTACATATATATAGGGGTGTGTATGTGTATATATATATATATATATGTGTATTCAGTGACGCGACGCTCGGCGAGGTAAGTAAGATGACGCGCTGGCGCTGACTCGAGTATAAGCCGAGGGGGGCACTTTTCACCCAAAAAAATGGGCTGAAAATCTCGGCTTATACTCGAGTATATACGGTATATATATTAGTTGTAGTCGGGTGTGGAAAAATGCTGTAAAGTAAGAATGGTTTCAGTAATAAAGTGTTAATTGTTTTTTTAAATCAATTTACCAAATGAAAGGTAAATGAAGAGAAGAGAAATCCAAGTCAAATCAATATTTGGTGTCACCGCCCTTTGCCTTCAAAACCGCATCAATTCTTCTAGGTACACATGCACACAGTTTTTGATGGAACTCGGCAGGTAGGTTGTTCCAAACATCTTGGAGAACTAACCACAGATCTTCTGTTGATGTAGGCTTCCTCTAATCCTTCTGTCTCTTCATGTAATCCCAGACAGACTCGAGGATGTTGAGATTAGGGCCCTGTGCGGGCCAAACCATGGCTTTCAGGACTCCTTGTTCTTTACACTGAATATACTGTAGTTCTTAATGACTTTGGCTTTATGTTTGGGGTCGTTGTCTTGCTGCAGAATACATTTGGGGCCAATCACACGCCTCCCTGATGGTATGGCATGATGAATAAGTATCTTCTTGTATTTCTTAGCATTGAGGACACCATTGATCCTCACCAAATCTCAACTCCATTGGCAGAAATGCAGCCCCAGATTTCAAGGAACCTCCACCATGCTTCACTGTTGCTGCAGACACTTACAGGTGAAACTCGAATAATTAGAATATCGTGCAAAGTTCATTTATTTCACTAATGCAACTTAAAAGGTGAAACTAATATATGAGATAGACTCATTACATGCAAAGCAAGATAATTCAAGCCGTGATTTGTCATAATTGTGATGATTATGGCTTACAGCTCATGAAAACCCCAAGAACCCCAAATCCACAACCTCAAAAAAGTAGATTATTACATGCAATCAATAAAACAAGGATTGTACATAGAACAATATGGGACCTCTGAAAAGTACAAGCATGCATATGTACTCAGTACTTGGTTTGGGCCCCTTTTGCAGCACTTACTGCAATTACTTTTGCACGATATTCTAATTATTCGAGTTTCACCTGTATTATTGTACCGTTTTATAGACAAAGGGTAGTCACACCAAAGATTGATTTGATTTGGATTTCTCTTCTGTTCATTTACTTTATATCTTGTTAATTGATAAAAATAAACTATTAACACATTTATTTATAAAATAATTCTTACTGTACAGCATTTTCACACCTACCTTAAACCTTTGCACCGTTCTGTGTATGTATGTATATATACATACATACATACATTGTTGTACAGTCTGTTGCAGCAGTGCCAGGGACATGAAATTCCATAGCAATTCCTGCTAAGCTGGTTCATAAACCAGATGTTATTGTTGATATGCCATTATTGCAACATTAGAAAATTCAAAATCACTACATTACTACAAAGAGAGCAATCCAACTATATCCACAGATAGGGGACAGTGTGTATATATATATCTATATATATATATATAGATATATATAGCGCTCAACCCCGAAGGAGCTGCTGGAATAACCCGTGTTCTGAAGCTAGGATTCACCACCCAGACAGGATTCACAGCACACCAACACACCTTACATAGTTACATAGTATTTGAGGTTGAATAAAGACATTAGTCCATCAAGTCCAACCTATTAGGATCTCATTCTAGGAGTACCTGTACCCCTGTATATTGCGGTCCCTTAAGAAATCGTCCAAAAGTTTCTTGAACAATTCCACATT